CTTTTTCAACAAGTAGTCATTGAGTAACATACATAGACAATATAGATTTTAGGCACTTGGGATATTATCAGTGAACAAATAGACAAATATCCCTGCTTGCATGGTGCTTCAGTTCTGTTAAGAAAAGGTTAAAAAAAATTACACCTAATAAATAAGAAAAATATATATTATAAATTGATAAGTATTATACATAAATTAAGACTCATTTTGAACCTTGGGAAGAAAACTGGGCTGTTGAACTCTGATATGAGTCAGCTGCAATCTTAAATGAAATGTTGTCACTGGGAAGCTGGGATGTCAGATTGTGGACTAAGGTGAGCCTGACACAAACCACAGTATTTTCAATAGCCTCATTCTCTTGTTATTCTTAAGTGCAGTCAAGTGGCTTCCAACTCAAAGTGACCCTTTAACGGGTTACTGAGGAACAGCTGGTGAGTTTAAATTGCTACCCTTATGGTTTGCCAATAGCCTCATATGCATGTAAAATTCATGCAATGAATAAGGAAGACAATAGAATTGATTAATTTGATTTATGGTATTGGAAAATAATATTAAAAGTATCATGGACTGCCAGAAGAATGAACAAATCTGAGTTGGGAGAATTACAATCAGAATGCTCCTTAGAAGCCAGGATGGTTAGATTTTATGTCTCATACTTAAGACATATTATCAGGAGAGACCAGTCCCTGGAGAAGGAAATAATGTTTGATAATGTGGAGGTTCAGCACAAATGTGGGAGACCCCCAACAAGATGGATTGGTCCAGTAGCAGCAGCAATGGGCTCCAGTATGACAATGATTGTGAGGATGACACAGGACCCAGAAGTATTTTCTTCTGTTGTGGGTAGGGGCCCAATGAGTAGAAACTGGCTAGAAGGCACCTAACAATGATACCAAGAAAGGAAGGAAAGGGATGATTTATGCAGGAATCTGGAGAAGGGGAATTCCCAGAATATGAAAGAAAGTGTGGAGCCATTTAGGAAACCATTCTGGAGAGAGCAGAATGAACCCACAAGTATTTGGAAATAGATAGGACCAAAGATGGGAGTGGAGCCAGATCTTCTAACATCTTAGAGTTCATTGTGAAGACTTTCCAAGGTGTTTTACAGATGATTGGCACATCTGGCTTGTAAAAAGGATTGGTCCAGCTGCTGTTCTGAGAATGGATGGTGTACGGAGAGGAGTAAAAGGCAGTATTATGTTCAGGAAACAAATGTAGTAATCCAATAACCATGGTTATAACAGAGAAATGGTTGAGATTAGCCATAGATTCAATATCGTTTGTGAAGAAGAGAGATGTGAATCATATTTTTGTCCTGAACAATGAAAAGAATACAACTGTCACCCATTTAAATAGAAATTCTTATGTTTTATTGGTTTGCTTTAGTTTGGTTTGGTTTTAGAATGGTATATTGGTTTTAAAATGGAGTCCTGGTATAGCGCTCTGGGTTAATGCACCAAACTGCAAAGCTAGTTGAACTGCAAGGTCGGCGGTTCAAGCTCACCAGCTGCTCCTCAGAAACCCATACAGGGTCACTATGGGTCAGAATCCACTAGTTGGCACTTAAAAACAACAGTGGATGTTCAGGATTAGTATTTAAGAAAGTCTATCTCAATGCCAAGTGGACTATAAGCTTGGTATTCAGGAAAAAACATAGAGAAAGTATATAATGAGGGTGTTAACAGGTTTTGATTTCAAGAATTTTTGCAGGTAATGAACCACAATTCCAGAGAAAACAATAGAAGGATTTTAGGCTTCAAGAAGGATGAGAAAGTGTCAAAATAAAAGATGCACAAAGCTTTGTGAAGCTAAAAAAAAATTAGGTTTGGATAGTGACTGGACACAAATCCTGAAAAAAATACAAGGTTCAAGGAAGACAGAGTTTCTTTGCTAGAAGTATAGAGGCATCCTGAGACTAGGCCTATGTGGGCAGAGTTCTGCATAGCAGGATGCCTTGTCAAGCCACTAGAGAATATGTGCTTTTAGACCAGTGTTTATTTTTCTCCCGATTTCTTAGGGAAGGGCCCTGTTTCTCTAAAACGCTACAATTTCTCCTGGCAATGGAGCACCCAACTTTCAGCCAAGCTAATCCCTTCCATTAAGCTGTCATCCCATTTACCCCTAACTTTAAGGAGTGACAAGCTGAATTCCAGTAAATAATAATCTTTCCTACGAAGATATTTTCTGGGAGAGGCATAGAACATGCATGGTCTGTGAAATATGAACAAGAGGAATATTCTATTATTTAACTATTATTTCTAAATGAGAAAACTGAGATAAGGGGGGTTGTTTGCTTACAATGATTCAGTTCAAAACTCTAGAAAGTAGATGAAGTTAATATTATTGTTGGAAGGGAAAGGAAATATGTCAAAGACATCACTCTGGAAAAGAAAAATCCTTGAACTTCAATGTAGAGTGAAAGAGGAGGGAGGAGTAAAGTTTTCTGACATTATTATTATCAAAATAAGTTGTTTGATTTTGCCAGTAACAAAATTTGTTTCGCATTTCAGAGAGTTGAATGCCTAATTATTTGTTGGACACAATTAGAAAAAGATATGACTGCAAAGGTAACCTTTAACAACTTCACTAAACTTTGTTGGGAAGGTACAGCATGTATTTTAAGTTTAAGTAAATTTTAATATCATTTCATTATCATCATGATCTTTAAATATCCTTAAATAGTAAAGTTGAATTTAAATCACATCATTTAGCATCAAAAGTATTTACCATAATACTGTGAGATCAGTATCACTGCTCCACATATAAAAATATTAGTAATTAGTCGAGGGAAAAAAAAGGAAGAAAAAAATATTTTTGTTTTGTTTTTGAGTTCTTATAACTAGTAAATCGATTGCTTGGTCAAAAGAACTCAGATATACTGGATAAAATTTTGGAGAAATTCTGATAATAAAAGCATATCTAAAACTCGAGGAAAACATTGCAATTCCAGAGAGGTAAGTTCTGGGACTCAGTGATACTAGATTCAGAAGGAAAAAAAATCCATAATTCCCTCAAATTGATTTCACAATAAAGTGGGTTTGAAAATAACTGAATATAATGACATGAAAAAATTAGTTAAACCATACTTTTGAACATATTAATCAAGAAGAAAATGGAAAACTAAACAATGACAGCTGTAAAGCAAAAGAGAAATGTAATGAATTGTAAAGAAGAAGAGTCAACAGGGAGAGATAATGAGAGTAAATAAGAGGCAAAAGAGAATAAATAGGATTAGTTTTAAATTAAAGTCCTGGTATGGAGCTGCAGAATAATGTGCTGGACTGTAAGGTCAGCTTGAACTTCATGGTCAGAGGTTCAAACCCATTAACCACTCTTCAAAAATCCTACATAGGGTTGCCATGGGTCGGAACTGATTCGCTGGCACTTAACATCAACAACAGAGCTAAATCAATGAATAAAGTGAAAAATTGGAAACAAGATATATGTTATTTTGCTCTGAACCAATTTAAGAATCCCCAATTCTATTAGGGTGAGTCAAAAATTATCTGCACTCTGGCTGTAGAATTAATTTTAATCAATTATAAGAAAAAACAAATACATAGTTTTTCAACATAAACTCCATGCTTTTCAATACACTTTGTCCATATGTCGACGAGCTTTCATATTCCCTTATTTAAAAATGTTTTAGGATGAGCTGTGAGCCATGAATGAACCATTGTCTTCACTTCTTCATCAGAGGTGAATCTTCTTCCTTGAAGTGTTGATTTCAGGGGACCAAAGAGGTGACAGTCCAATGAAGCAAGATCAGGGATATAGGGAGAATGCTTTAATACCTCAAAAGGAAGTTTTTGCAAAGTGTCAACAGTGTGGACAGTGGTGTGAAGACATGCATTGTCATGCAAGATCACAATGCCCTTCCATAGTAGTCCTCTGTATTTGTTAGGAAGTTCAGGCTTCAGTTTTCAAAGAACATCTCATTGTAATGAGCACTCTTGATTGCTCAACATTTTTTCTGATAGTTTTCTAATACTGGCCCTTGAGATTCCCAGAAAGCTGTAAGCATTAATTTTCCAGCTGATGTTTGACTTTTAAACTATTTGGTCGGCGATTGAGGATGTTTCCATTCCATATAATGCCATTTACTCTCTGATTGGCAGTAATGAATCCATGTCTCCTCACCAATAACGATATTTTTAAATAGACTTTTACCTTCCTTCAAATGGTGATGTGCTCTGCAGTTGGTTCCGAACCATAACGACCCTGTACCGGGTTTCTGAGGCTGTAAATCTTTACAGGATCAGAAAGCCTCATCTTTCTCCCATGGAACAGCTGGTAGTTTCAAACTACTGACTTTTAGTTTCACAGCCCAATTTGTAACCACTATGCTACCAGAGCTCCTTTCCTTCGAGTATCTGTCCAAATTTTGTATGAAGATGTCCAGGTTTACACCTACAAAAGCAGTGACCTTGAACAGACAGTGCTCATAAGATGGTGTAGCCGATAGAAGTTTTAACAAAACCAGAGTGTGGATACTTTTATACTCCCACTGGTATATAGAAGACATGGAGCAAAAGAGTATTTAAAGGGATGAGAAATTACAATGAATGTATAGCAACCTTTGTTTAGTAAAAGGTATATTAATTTGAAGAAGGAATTCTGGTGTGTTACTGTAGGATAGGCACTGGACTGCAAGATAAGTTTGAACTGTAAGGTTGGAGGTTCAAACTCTCCAGCCACCCCATAAATGGTCACTATGAGTCAAAAGCAATTCTACAGCACTTAACAACGATAATTTGAAGAAAGACTCATCAATGAACTCTACGGAGCCATCAGGAAATAGAGTTTGATGAACTATTTGTAAGATAGATACCCAATAATGCATCTGTAAATATTTCACATTTTCCCTTTTATCCTTAAGGGGAAATGTTCCACAGCAACAATGATTAAAATGTCAACTTAAGTGGAGGCATCTATATCTATATCCTTTGCTCCATTACAAGAGCCTTGCCAGGTATGGGGTGTACATTGGTAACAGAGTTTTAGGAATAATCTTCTCTAAAATTAGAAGCAGAGTCTAGATGACCAGAGAATGCCCAGTCCTCTGACTCCACTTCTGTGATAGGTGGTAAGGTAAGAGGATTTGTATCACAGATGAAAAAATAAGGTCGTAGAACACCAGAGAAGAGTTGGTTGAATGTATAGATATAAGACCAATTTGTGACATTGTAAAAGGAGATTTCACCGGCTTCATAGTCCAAGAAAATACCAACGCGATGAGGTCGCTCCATTTGAACAACAGGAACAGATGGAGAGGCAAGGACCATGTACTCATTTCCTTTCAGGAGCCACATGGCCCACACCCCATTCTCTGGAGATGGTGTGGTTTCCCCCTTTCGTGACACTGTATCTTGACAGACACCTAATCCCCACTCCGCTTTTTCTCCCACCACAGTCTCCCAGTAATGCCTCCCTGATGAGAAGTTCTGTGAACCAAGGATACAGGGCCATGTGTCAAAACGCTCAGGGTTGTTAGGGACATCTCTCCACAGTTCTCCATCCTGCACACTGCGTAGGTCAGCAGTCAAGAGTAGACTAGGATGAGCTGTGGCCGGATCCAGCTTTACATCAACTGTGGAAATAATTTTGTGGAATGAAAGAAACAGGAAAATTTGGTAAAATCTTAGGAAGCTTTGACAGTGAAGACACAGTTATCTACTTTCTCCTCATTTTTTATCTAATATCTCCTAAAGAATACCAAATGGTTATTTGATCAGGTGTCACTGTATAATCCAGGACTCATAATGACTCAGATAAAAGCTCAATTATTCTGATGATGGGACAAACAGAGTACATGGCCATTTTCATCTACATCCAAAGCATGGGATATTCTTCAATTAACATAAATCTATATAACCCTTGGTAAAGTTTTATTTATTTATTTCAATTATATAGAAAAAATTCTTTAGTATGAAATCCACTGCTTTCAAAGTTATTAAATATATTATTATAGGCAGAATTCTAAGATGCCCCATGACTTTTAAAACCCTGGTGTTACTCATATGAATATGCTACATTGTATGAGAAAATGGAGATTATCTGGGTCACCTAATCTAATAGCAAGAGTTCTTTAAAATCAGAACGTTTTCTCTGATTGGTGGACTGTTGGCAAAAGGGAATCAAGTAGAGTTGGATTTTTCGTGTGGCTGTTGAGTTTGAAGATGGAAGGGGCCATGATAAAAGAAATGTACTTAAACTCTAGGAGCTCAGAATTATCCACAACTGACAAACAGCAAAGAAATGGGAATCTCAGATCTACAACTATAAGGAACTACCTTCAGCCAATAACCTGAGTGAATTTTCAAGTAGATTCTAGAATCTTTAAATAAGAGCCCAGCTTGGTTCAAACTTTGATTTTGGCCTTCTGAGACCCTAAGCTGAGAATATAGTCAATAATGTCTAAATTTCTGACCTACAGACCTGAGAGCTAACAAATGGGAATGGTTTTAAGAAGCTAAGTTTGTGATGATTTCTTATACAGTAAGAGAAACACTAATACAGATACTACGAAGGCCTATGAGTATTTATGTGGTCTTTTACTCATTTTTGTTAAGTGCTATCAAGTTGGTTCTGACTCACAGAGACAATGTATAACATTTCCGAGGAGTAATTGGTGGATTTGAACCACTAATCTTGGGGTCTAATCAAACAGTAAATATTGTGAACTTTATCTTTAAAATATACCAATAATCTATTTCTCATCATCTTCAGTTCTACCACCCTGGTCCAAGTCACAATCTTCTTTCATTGAACTACCACAAAAAGTTTCCTAATTGTATTCTCCATGAAGTCTTTGCCTATCTCTAATACATTTCCAAAGTAACAAAATGTGACTCTTTTAAAATGTTAGTCCAATGATGTTATTCCTCCATTTGATGATGTCTTGTTTCACTGAGAGATAAAATAAAATGCTTACTGTAGTCTGCCTATAGAGCCCTGCACCACATTGCCCTTCTTTGACCTCTTTAACTTGCCCTTCAGTTACTCTGTTGCAGTCACCCATGACTCATTGTCCTTGGAACACACCTGACATTATTCTATACTACGCCTTTGGCAATTGTGTCAACTGTATGGAATGCTCTCTTCTAGTTCAGATATTGGCTGAGTTATCACTTAATGAGTGAGAACTTCCTTGATTACTCAATTAAAAGTGAGACATCTTACCCTCAAATCTTTTGTCGTCCCCCAATCACATATCTCCCTTCTTCTCCAGTATTTTGCATTATCTCCTCATATGTTGTGTTTATTATTAATTTAAGTAAATATTTGTGTCATAAAGCATTGGTTTCTGTGATGTTTTTTGTTAAATGTTACATTTTCATATTTAGAAGAATGGCTGGCATAAAACAACACAAAATCAGTTTAATTAATTCCATAATTAAAAAACAAATAGAAATATGAGCACATTGAGTATAAGTGAAATTTAATCACTTATATCAAATTATGTAGTTACTATATACGTATTTATCTAAACATGGATTGAATTATCAATAGTATTACTGAGAAGGATTTTCATAATAGAAAATAAAATTGTTTCTCTGTAAGTAGTATTACCACTCTTTAGCAATAGATTGTACCCTTTGGTTGTTTAAATTATTATATATTATATATTCCTCAGGGTTTCTGTTTACATTTCCTCCAAACCCCCCAAAAAGAAAAAAACAAAACAAAACAGAGAGAATGGGAACAAATATTGTTGAATGATGATGCACAGAGGAGATTGTAATCATTGCAATGAAATGATGGTGTAAAGCCGATGTTCTCCCATGTAAACTATCACTCAGTTCACAATAAAAACTTAAATGAAAATAAAGGGAAAAATGACTCAATACTGTTTAAAGGAAACTATGATCAAATTGACTTAATTTTATGAACTAAAGTTATTCCTACATGTAAAACATTGGCTAAATATTTTGGCTGGCTATTTCAAACAAATTGTGTAGTGTGGAAGTGTAGGATAAGTACTAGACTGCTAACCACAAGGTTGGCTGTTGAAACTCACCAGCTGCTCCATGGAAACCCTATACAGGGTCACTGTGAGTCAGAATCAACTGGATGGCACTTAACAAAAACAATCAAATTCAAAGCCAGTAACATACATCAAAGCTCCTGTTTACTGATATCTTGCAATGAATGGATTTAGATAAAATATTTTCGAGAATGTTGTGCTGTTGTTAATTGCTATTGAGTCAGTTCTGACTTACAGCAACCCTGTGTAAGGTTTCTGAGGCTGTAAATTTTTATGGGAGTGGAAAACCTCATCTTTTTTCCATGGAGTGGCTGGTGGCTTAAACCACCAACCTAGTGGTTAGTTGTTGTTGTTGTTATGGGCCATGGAGTCAGTTCTGACTCATAGTGACCCTGTATAGGGTTTCTGAGGCTGCAACTCTTTACGGGAGCAGAAAGCCTCATCTTTCTCCCATGGAGCAGCTGGTAGTTTTGAACTGCTGTTTATGAAATTAGCAGCCTGATTCATAACCACTATGCTACCAGAGCTCCAGTGCTTATCTTACATATACAGCATAAGGATGATCTTCTTTTGAGTTTTCAGATATATATAATTTCATCTAGTTCTTCAGTGAATCCTAGTATCTATTTTGTCAGCAAGAAAATGGAGATTTATTGAAACTAATGTTCCTAATTGTACAGCTACTAAGAAATGAACATACTTTCAAATTCATTTTTTTAATTAAATATAGCCTATATGTTGCTATTTTTGTTAAGTGCCGGCAAGTTGGGTCCAACTCACAGTGATCATATATAAAGTTTCGGAAGAGCAGCTGGTAAGCTTGAACTGCCAACCTTGCAGTTCAAACCAACTTTGCAGTCTAGGAAATTAACCCGCAGCACAATACCAGGACTCCATAGCTTATATTGTGTCTGTGATTATGACAGTTCTTAGGACTATTCACAAATATCCCAATGCCCCAATGCTCATCCCTCTGAGCACATGATGCACTGCTCCAGTCCTCTTTGTAGTTTGTCATAGATATGGGACTCACTCTGACTAATGGCATCTTCAGGGAAAGGATGTGCACCACTTCAATGTTAATGCTTTTAATAAACAGTGCACGCTTCACCCTATCCTTGTTCTTTTCCATAGACCCTCACAGCACTTTGGACATTGGACCAGTCAATACACAGATGATATGATGTCAACCTAAAATTTTGCTGATTTTAGTCATGAAATTGTTCTGTTTTTGTTTGTTTGTTTGTTTGTTTTTTTGTTTTTATTTTTTATACAGCCTAATTGATACAGCAAGACACTACTCTAACAGTCCTACTCATGGCACTATAGTTTTCCTGCTTACCTTGGAATTTTCTTAGCATTTCCCTCATCCCAGGGATGTGACACACTGTCTTCAGTTCCATGGGGATGGTCTCTTGTTCCAACCGTGTAATAGATTTACTTCTAAGGAGAGTAGAAAGCCAGTAGAGTTCAGTGAGTTCTTGGGTTACCCACCAAACTCCTCAACCTCTTTCAATTCCTTCACTGGCTTATAAAGTGAACATACCTGCCCAAGGCTCCTCTCACACCCTGAAAAACAAGAAAAACACAAGCAGGCAAATATTAGACTTTCTGAGTTACCTTTTTTCCCCTTTTTAATTGTGGTAAAACATATATATATATAGCAACATATATGTCTCTACAACCTATTTTAATGGCATGATTCAGTGGCATAAATTAAAATCATTATGTTATACAACCAACACAACAATCTATTTTAAAAATTTCCATCAGTCATAACAGAAACTCAGTAACATCTAAGCAATGAATCCCATTCCACCCTTCCACATCTGATAACCATAATGCCCTTTGATAGGCAAATCACTATTCTAGAAATTTCATGTAAGTGAGATCATACAATATGTTTCCTTTTATTTCCGACTTATTTTACTCAGCATGTTTTCACATTTCATCCATATTGTTGCTTGCATTGGAACTTCATTTCTTTATGACTAAATAATCTCCTATTTTATGGATTTATCACATTTTATTTGTCCATTCATCTGTTGATAGACACTAGGGTTATTTCTACATTTTGGCTACTATGGATAATTATGCAATGAGTATGATGTATAGTTATCTATTTGAGTCCCTACTTTCAATTATCTTGTGACTAGACCTAGGAGTGAAGCTGTTGAGTCATATAGTATTTCTATGTTTAATTTTTTGAGTAATATCTGTATTATCTTCTTTGAACTGCTTTTATAGAGAGAATGTGGATACTCAACATGGAAATCTGACTAGAAATTCTTAACTATAAGATAAAAGTAGGGGGAAACATGCATTTTTTTTAAACTTAAAATTTTCTCATGAGTTTTGGAACAACTCATGCGAAAATGAGCTTGTCTTTCTATTAGTATGTGTTATGTTATGTTCAGTGCTGTTGAGTCATCATGACCCTATATAGAGTTTGAAACACCAATCTTACACTTAGCAGTCCAGTCCTTTTCCTACAGCACCACACCAGGACTCTTAAGAATAAAAATGTTGGTTCCGATTTATAGTGACCTTATGCACAAAAAAGTAAAACACTGCCTGGTTCTGAACCAACCTTACAATCACTGCCACAATTGTACCCACTGCCAATTCATCCCTCTCTTTTTTGCTGACCTTGATGTCCTTCTCCAGTGAGTAGTTCCTCCTGATAATATGTGTGAAGTAGGAGAAACAAAGTCTGGTTATCTTGGTTTCTAAGGCACATTCCGGTTGTACTTCTTCCAACACAGATTTGTTTGTTCTTCAGCAGTCTGTTGTACTTTTAACACCATAACTCAAATGCATCAATTCTTCTATTGTCTTACTTATTCACTGTCCCACTTTCATAAGCATATGAAGCTGTTGAAATCACCATGGCTTGAGTCAAGTCATCTTAGTCCTCAAACTGGAATCTTTGTGCTTAAACACTTTAAAGAGGTCTTTAATTGCAGGTTTGCCTTATGTAACACATCATTTGATTTCTTGATGGCTGCTTCCATAAGTGTTAATAATGGATCCAAGCAAAATGATATCTTTGACAATTTCAATTTTTTTTCTACATTTATCATGATGTTACTTTAGATTTTTTTTTTTTTTTTTTTACTTTTAGGTAGAACTCATATCAAAGGATGTGGTCTTTGATTTTCATCAGTGAATATTAAAATCCTCTTTGCTTTCAGCAAGTAATGTTATATCATCTGTATATCACAGGTTGTTAATGACTTCTTCCAATCCTGATGCCACATTTTTTTTCATATAAGCCAACTTCTGTATTTTTTGCTCAGCATACAGAAATGGATAAATATGGTGAAAAAATACATCCCTGGTGCACAAATTTCCTGATTCATTTAGTGTCCTCTTATTCTGTTTGAACAACTATCTCTTGATCTACATACAAGTTCCTCATAAGTTTATGAATAAAAATAAGTACTAAATATTTACAGAATTTATTTGAAAAAGGTACAATGGAAGGTATAGACAAAAAATACTATACTCCAGTGCTGTGTAAGAAAATCCCAAATTCTCAAATTATTTGAACCAACACAACATATGGTATGAAATCATGTGAGTCAATTATCTATATGGATTAAAAGGAAAACAATTTATCTTAAATTAGATAATTCAATGCATTCCTTGTAGCACATTAATAAAAACAGAAAACAAAAATAAAAAAAACATCTGTCAGACATATTTTGATAGCACATATTGACTAGGGAAATATTTAGCCTTATCATTTATGGGTATATGCCAGGCCTTGGACTTAACCATTAGGAATAAAATGTGGGTTACTGGTACTAGGGAAGAAAGGGTAATCAGAGCATACACATAAATATAAATCATTTGAGAAAATATTCTTTCAAGATTTGTGTTGTTTAACTGTTTATTTAAAAAAAAATGTTCATTTGATATATGGGGAGATAAGGTGATAAATGCTAGTAAGGAAAATGTCTAAGTTCCTGGGCTTATTTTTTGTTTGATATTTAGAAAATGATTTACTTTTTTACTGTTTGCTTATGAGAAAATAGGTATACTAATAAAACAAAAATGCATGGTAATTTCATTCATTTATAGATTCTTCACTCATGTGTTTAGTCACTGTTCTTCTAAAATATAGCTTATGCAGATAACTATATTAAGGATGCATGCTGTGGTGCTGTAAGATAAACACTGGACTTCAAACCACAAGGTTGGTGGTTCGGCAGTTCAAACACACCAGCAGCTTCTTGGCAATCCTCTATAGGGTCTCTATGAACTGACTTGTCAGTACTTAACAACAACATATTAAGGTACTGTCAGTGTCATGAGGTAAGTTGGACAAGATAAAGTCTGTGGGTCAGTTGCTCAATGAGAAGTTGAATTACTAAGTTCAGAATTTCCCTAATAAATCTGGTGGATAATATAGAAAGAAGCATCCTCAAATGAATTTTCTTTGCAGCTGGTTTAATTATAATAATGTATATTCATCAACTAATACAATTTTCACAAATCACCTGGAATTTAGTGTCTTCATGGAAGAATACAAATAAATATTTCATTTCCCCTGTTGTCTATGTGTCCATTCTAAAATACCATTTAGACTATGAACAAGCTGACAACTTAATATTATTTTTTTCTATCTTAGGAAAATCATACAATTATTTTCAATTAAAAAAATTTAAAACATTTGATCTTTGATAAGAGCTATGGGTTTTGCTAGGGTTTAGTCTGACTCTGATGAAAGGAATTTTGACAAAATACTTTCCAAGTTAATTATAGAATAACCTTCTGCTAAAGAATAAATACATGAATAACCCACTATGTTTACAGGATCAGACAGCTTGCTTGTGAGTTTGAACTGCAGACCTTGTGGTTAGTAGCCCAGTGCTTATCCATAGTCCCTCCTAATGCCACTTCCCTGCTATGCCCTATAGATCTCATGTGTATTCCTTCTCCCACCTGGCCTCACCTCCAGCAGACCCAAGGCTGGGCGCTGACATCTTTCCTCCAGTTCCTCTGTCAGTCCCTTCAGGGCTTTGCTCTGCTGGGACAGCCTGTTCTTGCTTTCCCGTAGTCTCTGCAGTGTTGCTCTCTCCTCTTCCTCCAATCGCCTCAGTTGCAGTTGTTCCTCCTGAGCCAGGAAGCCTCGATGCTTCTCAAATTCTAACCTGAAACGCTGTCTCCGCATTTCCACTTTCTCCTGGAGTGATATAGTAAGTCACATCATCAGCATTTGTGCTTCTGTAACACTATAGTAGGGCATAGTCTCTGAGTAGAAGGTCTCCATGTAAGGAGTTGTCAAGCTGGAGGACACTAGAGTTCATTCATAGCTCCACATTGATTAGCTACATTCTACCAACATGCAGAAGCAGATGCCATTTTACATAAAATGACCTGATAGATTTTGATACCCGAGTTTAAGAAGGACTGCTAGATTTTTGTTGCCACCATAGGTTTGGGGGCAAGACATTTAATCAAGCTTCAGTTCACTATGTAGAGCTTGGGAAAAGAAAGAACATGAATTAGAGCTAAATATCAATTAAACTACTGAGTACAATGACTAGAGAATGACAAATAAAGAGCAATGACATTATATTCATCCTCAGAAAGAACATTACAAGCTCTATCTTGAAGGACAATGCTGTCTGTGATCAGATACCATCCATATACCTACAATGAAAGTATTATAATGAAGTGTACAAAGACCTGAAGTTCCAAAACTCAACTGCTCATTATTAATCAATCTGAAATAACTGAAGGACAAATGCAAGCCTCAGGTTGAGGTATCGAAGAATTCTGTGGACAAAATACTGAATTAAGTAGGAAATATCAAACAAAGATAGAAGGTATATGCACAGTTACTGTACAAAAAAGAGTCAATCAATATGTAATCATTTCAAGAGGTTGCACATGATCATGAATAGATGATACTGAAGGGAGAAATACAAGCTGTTTTGAAGGCAATAGTTAAACACAAGACTCCTGGAACTGATGAGATACAAATTGAAAAGTTTCAACAATTGATATATCATTGGAAGTGTTCATTCTTCTGTATCAAGATGTTTGGAACACAGCTACTTGGTCAGCCAATTGAAAGAGATTCCAAAGATAGGTAAGCAAATGGAATGTGAATATTATTGAACAGTATTATTAACATCACATAAAAGTAAAATATTTATGAAGATAATTCAAAAACTGTGGCAGCAGTAAATTGACAGTGAGCTGTCAGAAATTCAAGCCAGATTTAGAATTAAAGATGGAACTAGTAATATCATTTCCGATTTTAGATGGGCCTTGGCTGAATGCAGAGAACATCAGAAACATGTTTTATTTCTGCTTTAATGTATATAATAAACTGTGGATTTATTTCTGCTTTAATGTATATAATAAACTGGGTCATAACAAACTGTGGATAACATTGCATAGAATAGGTTTTCCAGAACACATAATAGCATTCATGGAGAATCTATACATACACCAAGAGGCAGTTGTTAGAACAGAACAAGGAGATACTAAATAGTTCAAAATCAGAAAAGGCGTGCATGATGATTGGATCCTTTCACCATAACTGTTAAATCTGCATGGAAAGCACAGTAGCATTCATACAATAAGCACTGGACAGTGAATCACCATGTTGGTGGTTCAATCTCATCACCTGCTTCATGGGAAAAAGATGAGGCTTTCTGCTCCCACAAAGATTTAAAACCATAGAAACCCTATACAGGCTTGCTATGAGTTGGAACCATATACCATTTTGGTGGTGGTGGTGGTGTGCCATGGAGTCAGTTCCTACTCATAGTGAACCTGCATACGAAGCCTGCAAATCTGTATGGGAGCAGAAAATCGTATTTTTCTCCCATGGAACCGCTGGTAGTTTCGAACTGCTGCCCATAGGATTAGTAGCCTGACTCATACACACTATGCTACTAGAGTTCCTTATATAATATTTTGTTGTTGTTTTTGTTAAGTGTCATTGAGTCAGTTCTGACCCATTGCAACCCTGTACAGGGTTTCCGAAAAGTGACTGGTGAACTTGAACCACTGACTTTGCAGTTCAAACACTTTGCAGTCTGGTGCATTACCCACAGTGCCACACCAGGACTCCTATATATATTTTTTAGGGACCTTCCATTGCTGATGGAGCATAATTCAAAATGAGGAGAAACTACTAGAATCATCAATTAATAATTAGAATATGGAATGTATGATATATGAATCTATGAGTGTTGGAAAGCTTAAATATCAATATCCTCTGGTAGCGTAGTGGTTACGAATCGGGCTGCAAACCACAAGGTCAGCAGTTCTAAACTACCAGCTGCTCCGTGGGAGAAAGATGAGGCTTTCTGCTCCTGTAAAGATTTACAGCCTCAGAAACCCTGTTCAGGGTCGCTATGGGTCGGAACTGACTCGACAGCACTTAACAACAACAACATACATTAATATGCTGAAATGGACTGGTATTGACAATTTTGAATCTGACAATCACAGGTTTACTATGCTGGGAGTGAAAATTGAAGAGATATGGTATTACATTCATCATCAAAATGAACATTTCACAATCTATCTTGAAGTACAGTGTTGTCTGTGGTAAGTTATTATTCATACACCAACAAAGATCACTTAATATCACTATTATTAAAATTTACTCACCAACTACTAAAGTCAGTGATGATAAAATTGAAGAATTCTACCAAGTTCTCCAGTCTGAAAATGATCAAACGTACATTTGAAATGCATTGATAACTATTTGGTGATTGGATTGAGAAGATTGGAAACAAAGAGGAAGAATCAGAAGTTGCAAAATATGATCTTGTTGATAGAAACAATGCAGGTGATTTCATCATAGAATTTTGCAAGACCAGTGACTTCTTTCTTGCAAATACATTTTTAAACAACGTAAAAGATGGCTGTACACATGGACCTCTCCAGATGGAATACAATGGAATCAAACTGACTACATCTGTGGGAAAAGACAGTGGAAAAGCTCAATATCATCAGTCAAAATAAGGTCAGGGATCGACTATAGAACAGATCATCAATTGCTCTGTTGCAAGTTCAAGCTGAAACTGAAGAGTATAAATATGACCTTTAGTATATCTCAGCTGAATCTAGAGAATATTTCAAGAACATATTTAATGCATTAGACACTAATAACTGAAGACCAGAAGAGTTGTAGATGACAACAATATCACATCAAGGAAGAAAGTAAAAGATCACTAAAAAGACAGCAAAGAAAGGAAAGACCAAAATGGATGTTTGAAAAGACTCGGAAACTAAAAGTTTCAGAGATGTTAAAGCAAATGGAAGAAATGAAGAAGTAAAAAATCTGAACAGAAAACTTCAAAGGTCAGCTCAAGAAGACAAAGTCATGTATTGCAATGCATTGTGCAAACACCTGGTACTAGAAAATCAAAAGGGAAGAACATGTTCAGTCAGCATTTCTCAAGTTGAAAGAACTGAAGAAAAAATTCAGGCTTCAAGTTGTAATATTGAAGGATCCTGTGTAGTACTATAGCACTAGACTGGCAACGAAATTTGGCATTTCAAATCCACCAGCCACTCTGGGAAGTACTATTCATGGTAAATATGAATTGGAACTGACTCAACAATCTATAACAACAATAATAATGGGCAAAATATTGAGTAATGCAGAAAGTTTCAAAACAAGATGGAACATACAAACACAAGGTCATTGTACCAAAAAGAAATGGTCTATGTTCAAACATTTCAAGATCAAAACCAATGATACTGAAGGAAGAAGTCCATGCTGCACTAAAGGAATTGGTGACAAATGTAGCTCCAAAAGTTGATGGAATATAAATTGAAATCTTTCAAACAACTGATGAAACACTGAAGGCACTCACTTATTTATACCAAGGTATTTGGAAGACAACTATCTGTCCAACCAATTGGAGGAGATCCATATTTGTGCTTATTCCAAGAGAGATGACCCAGCATAATGTAGAAATCATTGAACAATATCATTTATATCACATGCAAGCAAATTTTTGCTGAAAAAATTCAAAATATGGAAGCTACAGTACATCAACAGAGAAATTCAAGCCAGATTCAAAGAGGGACATGGAACTAAGTATATCATTGCTGATGACAGATGGATCTTGGCTAAAAGTGGAGAATACCAGGAAGGCGTTTATTTGTGTTTTGTTGACCATAGGATGGTTTTTGACTCTGTGGTTCATGAGAAAACTATGGATAACATAGTGAAGAATGGGTTTTACTGCACAAGACTTCTTTGAAGTGTAAAACAAATATAACACTTTGAAGACTAAGGTGCACCTGACCCAATTCATGGTATTTTCAGTAGCCTTATATACATGTGGGAGTTAGACAATGAACACAGGAAATAATAGAATTGATGCATTTTATTTATGGTCTTAGAGAAGAATATTAAAGTGCATGGACTGCCCAAAGAATAAACACATGTGTGTTGGAAGAAGTACTGCCAGAATTCCTCTTAAAAGCCAAGATGGTGAAACTTTCATCTTTTATGCTTCAGATATGTTATCAAGTGGGATAAGTCTATGGAAAAGGACATCATGGTTAATAAAGTTGAGCGTCAAAGATAAAGGGGAAGACCCCATTGAGATGATCTGCCACAGTGGCACCAGCTATGGACTCCACTATATCAATTGTGAGGATGGCACAGGACCAGGCAGTGTTTCATTCTATTGTGCATTGGGTCTTTATGAATCAGAGTTGACTGAACTGCACCTAACCACAATAACAATTGAATTAGGCAAAGCTGTTGCAAAATACATCTTCAAAATATTAAAGAGCAGAGTTGTCAGTTTGAGGAATAAAGTGGGCCTGCCTCAAGCCCTAGTAATCTGAATCTTCTCATATGCATGTGAAAGTTGGACAATGAATAAGAAAGACTGCAGAAAAATTGATGGATTTGAATTATGGGGTTTGAAAAGAATACTGAAAGCATCATGGACCGCCAGAAGACCAAAAAAATCTGTATGGAAGAAGTACAACCAGAATGCACCTAGGAAGCAAGGATTGTAAGATTTCATCTGTGATACTTCAGACATGTCAGGAGGGACTAGTCACTGGAGAAGACATCATGTCCTCAAAAAGACAGATCCCCAATTAGATGTAATTGCAAAGTGGCAACAAAAATGGGTGCAAACATAATACTAATTGTAAGGACGGCCCAGGACTGAACAGTTTTATTCT